GGCAGAGAAGCACATGGACGTCCGCGAGGAGTTGGAGATGGAGGACCTGCGGAGGGCCGATGACGCGACCACCCCTGCTACACGCATGGCAGACGACCGGGGTGCTGACCACGGAGAGGAGTCGGGAGGCCGAGGGGCGGGTCCCCCCATGACGAATGAGGGACGGGTTGGTGGTGTGCGCCCAGAGGACGAGCTCAGTACGCTGAGAGAGAGGATACGGGTCCTTGAGGCGGGGCGACAACCGACCCGCTCGGATGGCACTTTACGACAGTGTTCAAGGCGGGGGGTGGACATGGCGTGGCTGAGGACGGAGGGCACATCTGGCCCATCGGGCGTCGTCGTGCCCCATGATCGTCGAATGCTGCAGACGAGGTTGGATAGTTGGGCCAGTGAGGGGTTGCAACAACAGTACGAGAGGTTGTGGGCAAGAGCGTTGTTCATGGTTGGGGTGCCTTTCTCGTTCACGCGCCTCGATACCACGCAGGAGCTGCATGACTTTATGGTGTCACTGATGCAGGTGACGATTGGGCCAGCTTTGGTCCTACCCTCATAAACAGACATTCGCACGCGGCTCCTAGATGAGATCTACCACGAGATTGCGGAAAAAGTTGCGCCGAAGAAGGCGAAATGGAAGCTCACAGGGTGTACCATGATGACAGACGGGGCTAAAACGAGGTCGTACAAACCCGTCGTCAACTTCATTGCAGCAGGCGAGGACGGGTCAGTCTTGATCACCACCGTCGACATGTTGGAGAGGGATAAGACTGGTGTGGCACTCGCGGATTTGTGGGAGGACGTCATCTGAGATATTGGCGTTGACGTTGTCAATGCGTATTGCACTGACAATGCTTACGCCAATAAGGTGGCTGCGCAGCGGTTGCAGGACCATCCCGACAGTGCCATCTCTCGGATCCCTTGGCTCCCCTGCGTGGCCCATTGCTTGAGTCTCCTCCTTCGAGACATCACGTGCTTCCAGTGGGTGCGCCCTATTTTGAAGAACACACACAAGGTTGTGATGTTCTTCAAGAACATTCAGAAAGCCCTCACGTATCATCGCTCCTTTAAGGGTCGAGGGCAGCTAGAGCTGATCCGACCATGTGACACACGGTTTGGGTCAGCATTTCAGATGGTGGAGCGCCTTACCGATCGGGAGCGCATATTGAGGGATGTTGTAGGCAGTGTGAGATGGCGCTCCACCCTGTGGAAGGGGAAGGCAGCCCAGGATGACCGCCCCGTTCGACAACTTGTTATGTCCGACTTGTTTTGGGAGAGTGCGCACCGCGTACAGGATGTCATGCAGCCGGCGTATAGTCTGTTGCGTGACATGGATAGGGACGGTTCTTCCCCCCCCACCCTGTGGGGGGTTGTGGACAGGATCAGACAGCGAGTTCGCGACACTGGTCTTTCTGAGGAGGAGGAGACAAAGATTTTGGACAGGGTGGAGTACCGTTGCAGCATGATGCGTCAGCCAGCGCACGCGCTCGCATACCTGGTGGACCTGTGACGGCGAGATGTGTCTTTGTTGGCGGATACTAGCAGCACGGTTGTGCAGAGTGCGCTGGATCATTTGTCCAGGTTCACTGTCGATGGCTCGGGATCAGAGGAGCACGTCAAGTTGTGGTTTGCTTTGTACTTCTTCCACCACGATGATCCCCACGCGAACCCCAGGCCAAAATGGCGGACGGTCGACAAGGCGAAGGCGGACGCAGGAAGGATGCACCCCGCGTATTGGTGGTATCTGCATGGTGCCGACTTCCCGCGTTTGCGGGAAGTTGCCATCAAGGTGCTCGCTATGTGGTCCACTGCCTCTCCTTGCGAGAGGAATTGGGCCTCGCACGACTTCATTCACTCGAAGAGGCGCAGTAAACTCTCGAGTGACAGTCTGCGGAAGCTCGTGTTCATCCATTGGAACATGCAGCTTCTGCGAGCTCAGTCGGGTCCCCGAAGGGGTTTCGTGGATGTTTGGGAGGATATGGTGGAGGATCCGCCGGAGCCGCAGGTCGGCGCTGGCTCTGAGGAGGTGTATGACGACAGCATGACGATTCCCGAGGAGGTGAATGCAGAGATTCGTAGCCGGCGCAAGGAGGGGGGGGATCGTGCTAGTGCACAACTGTTGCAGGGGCGGGACTACGAGGATGAGGACGAGGAGGACGTCATTTACGAGGCGGATGACGTCTGGGAGGGGAAGGACATGATCTAGGAGATTGTGGCAGCAGGGAAGGGGAAGGAGGTAGTGCGTGATGACCCTCTCGTCTCTCGTGTGTGGGACAGATGGGGGGGGGCTGACATTGTGGATGACCTGGACGGCTACCTGCACGGCTCCAGACACACCCTTCATATGATGAAGGACATTCACGAGTGCCACAGACCGAATAAGGGGAGTGCAGGGGTTCAGCAGGACCGTCGTGTGGATACGGGCTTTCGTGCGACCACCTTTGACGGTGAGGCAGGCTCTAGTGCAGCTACCCTAGAGGAAGGATCAACACGCACGACAGAGGTGGTAGTCCCCCCCCCGGCTACTCCATCGTTTGGTATGCCATCTGTTGTTGGAACAGGAGTGGAGCATTGTGATGCCCCTGTCTCGGGAAGTGTAGCACAACAGCCATGTCCCACCGTTGAGGAGCAGGGGAGCGCTCCTGTTCCTGAGGAGCACGAGAGCGCTCCTGTTACAGAGGAGCGTGTGACACATGCCACTGTTTTAGAGGAGCCGCATCCCGTTGTCGAGGATCAGGTGACCGCTCCCGCTGCGAAGGAGTTGGAGGCCGCTGCCGTCATCTCTGGGCAGCAGACTAGGTTGGACGGCAGGGCGCGAGAGACAGAGGGTGTTCCCACATCGTTGTCGTCCCCAGCGCTGCATGACCCATCTGCGTGTACGGGCACGGATGATACCACCTTTGCACCCTTCCATTCAGAGGTGCCCCTTACTATCGGGGAGGCTGTGGCCGGACATGACACTGGGCACCCGTGTGTGATGGAGACAGCCACACACACAAATATTGTGCAGCAGGAGGGAGTTGTTACGGATGAGGGGGGCCACGAGACACACAGAGAGCCCACTTGCACGGTCGAGGAGGTTGCTCCCACATCGGCAGAGGCCCCTCGTACATTAGAGAGCACGGAGCTGCACACAACGACGACGACGACGACGTTTGGAGGGAGTCCTAGAGCTGGGATGACTTCCGCTGCACTTCGGCCTGTGTCATTCTATACCGCTCCTCCGCTGCCTGTCTTACATGGTCGTGCTGTGGTCCGCGGACCCGGCTTGACTCTTCCCCCTCGTACATCGTCTCCTACTGCCACGACGCCTGTTGGGTGGTTGTCGTCATCCATGAGCATAGCAGCAGAGCATTCGCAGGGCAGTCGAGGTGTCCCATCGGTGGCCCCAGTGGCTCGCAGTCATTCGGATCCCGTGTGCATTGCACCGGTCATTTCAGTTGCGGTTTCCCCACTCCCTACTCGAGTGTCATCTGCCATTATTGACAAAACTTCGACGAGAGGGAGGAAGAGGAAGGCCCCTGACACACGTGGGCGAGAGCAGCCACAAAGACCTGCAGTGCAGGGTAGACCACGCGGGCGCCCACCAGGGGGTCGATCGGGGAGGGGTAGAGGGAGACATGGCGCCGCAGGAGCAACAGAGAGGCTGTTGGGGTCGCTCGGTGCTATAGGGGGCAGGTCACCAGCGCCCATATCCATGCATGGAGTGAGGACTCGTTCTCGTGGTGCTGCGGACAGGACGAGGCGCATCGAGGTTCAGGAGGACGACGACGATGATGAGCAGGGCAGTGGTGACGGGTCGGGGAGCGAGTACGAGGCTCCGTCACACTCCTCAGATGGTGACGACGACGCATATACTGGAGGGGACGCTGTTGACGCCCAGTAGGCTGACGAGGTCACGATGGTCGAGGACTGCTGAGAGAGAGAGAGAGAGAGAGAGAGAGAGAGAGAGAGAGAGAGAGAGAGAGAGAGAGAGAGAGAGGTATGTGTGTGTGTGTATGTGTGTGTGTATGTGTGTGTGTGTGTGTGTGTGTGTGTGTGTGTGTGTGTGTATGTGTGTGTGTGTGTGTGTGTGCGTGCACGCGTTTGTGTGTGAGAGAGAGAGGTAGGTGTGTATGTGAGAGATAGAGGTAGGTTTGTGTGTTTGTGAGACATACAGGTAGGTGTGTGTGTGAGAGAGATAGAGGTAGGTGTGTGTGTGTTTGTGAGAGAGAGAGGGGCACACAGGACTTGCAATTAGAATGTTGTGTATGAGAACATGACTTAGGCTTTCTGTGTGCTTGTGTAGACCTTACACTCTAAGTGTGTGCGTGGACCAGACTTTGGCTTCCAATGTATGTAGGTAGACCTCACTTTAGCTTTCAGTTTGTGTCTTTGTGTACTTGACTTAGGCTTTCAGTGCATGTTTGTATGGACCTCACTCAGGCTCTCAATGTTTGTGTGTGGTTGTGAACCACACTTTCAGTTTGTGTTTGCTGCATGTGAACCTTACTTTGCCTTTCGGTGCTCCTGTGGACCTTACTTTCGAATTCAGTGTACCTGACTCGGGCTTTTTATTTACATGTGTGACACTGCGTGCGTGTGTGTGTGTGTGTGTGTGTGTGTGTGTGTGTGTGTGTGTGTGTGTGTGTGTGTGTGTGTACGGTGTGTGCCCCGTGTTCCAACAATGCAGATCACAAATCAATCATCCATGTGTAAGTGTTGTTGTGGATGTGTCCACTCGTAAACACCCGTGGACAATGATCGAGCAATCAAGCAAGCAAGCAATCAATCAAACCAATCAATCAATCAATCAGTCAATCAATCAATCAACCAATCAATCCAGCAAGCAAGCAATTAATCATACCAATAAACTATTTATGGCCAAAAGCTTTCAAGTCTCATAACTCAGGTAGCCCTCCCTTGAAACAACCTTTTTTCTTTCTTTTTTTTCCCTTTTTTTTTACCCTAAATCCGGTTTATCCGGAATTCCGGATAAATCGGATGCCGGATGATAAGGCCGGATATTCCGGTCACTTAATCCGGCCGGCACTGCTGTGCTACCCAGACTATATGGGACTCTACTCTACTCTGTTCTACTACACTTTACTGTACTCTACTCTACCCACTCTACTCTACTCTAAGACACTTTACAACACTCTACTCTATGACACTTTACGACACTACTCTCTACTCTACGACAATCTATTCTACTCTATGACACTGTAGGACACTCTACTTTATTCTACTCTATGATATTGTCTACTCTATTCTACTCTAATACACTCTACTCTACTACACTCTACTCTCTAAGACACTTTACAACACTCTACTCTACGACACTTTAGTCTACTCTAAGACACTCGATTCTACTATGCAATACTGGACACTCTACTTTATTCTACTCTATGATAGCCTCTTCCCAGGTATTAATGGTGTCTGCTCTTATCAGCACCACTAACATTGGTGGGGGCTCCTCAACGACACTCTACGACAAAGGAAATCCAATTAAAGACATGTTGCTTGTTAGCATCATAGCATAAGTAAAAGGTAATAAAGAAGCTAATCCTACACGACTTCAAGCAAATAAAGCAGCTATGAAAGCAACAAGTGGAGCCGCCGCAACGACACTGCGGCGCAACATCTTTATTCACGGGGAAAACGGACGGGAGGAAGGGGAGGGAGGCAATGACTGATAACCGAGGGAGGAGAGGAGGAGGGAGCCGGGGGAGGAAGTTGATAGCATTAAAAGGCGGAGAGGGCGTGATGAGAAAGCATGCACAAAAAACGGGGAAGATTTGGCATGGCCAGGCAGGGCGCGCCGACAATTCATTCACAAAAAAACGGGGAACATGTGTTTCGGGAAAAAAAAATTGGTAGTATCAAAGGTGTTGTGTGTCTATTGTAGTTTTGCATCTGACAATGTATTTACAAAAAACAGGGAACATATCCTATGTCGTATTCAACAATTTATTTACAAAAGACGGGGAACATTCGGCAACTTAGATCCTCCACAGTCTCCCATGTGACGAATTTGTGCGGAGAATTGAGAGCACTGATATCGAGGAAGGATGCAAGTCTTGTGTGTTCAGCGTAGTCTTGCATCTGGTAATGCAGCCGTGTCCTTTGCAGAATGATGTCCGATCCGGAAGTCGGGGCAGATACTCAGCGCACAGTGTATCCGTTGCAGGTTTTGTGTACTCATTGCAGTTTGTGATCCGGCAACGCAGCTGTGTCCATTGTAGTCCTCCATGCGGGAATGCAGTTGTGTCCATTGTTCTCCTTCGTCCGGTAACATTGTTGTCTTCCTAGGGTGTCGAGGCGAATGATCATCGTTGTTGTCTTCCTGGGGTGTCGAGGTCGAATGGTCATCGTCTGGGCGCTCCTTGTGCTTGGAGGAGCGCAACGGCCTGTTGAATGATATCCGTTTTGAAAGTAGGGAAGGGGGGGAGGGGACGTTGCGTTTCGCGGTGGTGAACAAAGATGAGGTCGTTGAGGTATTTCCATGTTCGAGGCGTGTGGGGGATGTTGTAGATGTGGAAGGTGTGGCCCGATGCAAGGAGGTCGTGAATGAGGGCGGTGACTCTTGTTGCACCCCATGGTTCGAGTGGAAGCCACCAGAGCGGGTCCGGTCCGTGCTGTGTATGGGGTTGCAATGGGGACTGGTGTGGTGGGAGAGTGAGTGTGGTTGACACCCACTGGTTCGAGTGGAAGCCACCAGACTGGTCCGGTTCGTGTTGTGTATGGTGCAACTGGGGAGCGGTGCAATAAAAGAATGTTTGTGATGCGCAGTTGTGGAGCGGCGGCAGGAGGAGCAGCTGTAGAAACGGAGGCAGTGACGGGCAATGAAGATGATGATGCAGATGCGGCTGCTGATGTCGATGTAGACGGCTTCAATTTTTTTGGTCCTGGTTCATTTTGGGAGACACCTGCAGGACAGCCAAAAAACAGAGTGTAGTCAAATGTTAGGAAATGAAATTCAAGTAAGAATTTCTTTGTAGATTATATTAGTTGTTCGGTTATTGCTGGTAGGAAGGGAAAAACGAATGTGGGATAGGTCACCTACTCTCGAAGCAGCAACGTAAAGTTGACCGTGTGTGAATGGTGGTTGTTGGAGGTCAACACCAGCGTGTTTAATTGATTGGCCTTGGGATTTATTAATGATGATTGCAAAAGCGGGTCGAATAGGGAATTGGCATCTTTGCCAAGGGAGAGGATGAGTTTTATCTGTCACTGTGAGGAGAATGCACGGGAGCATAACAGGTTGGAGTGAAGAGAGAATGCATGCGTGTAGAAGTCTATTGTTGGCGACGGAATCGACGATCAACCGTGCACTGTTGCAGAGGCCGTTTCGCATGGCAATGTTTCGTAAGAGAATGATCGGTGCACCCTTTTTAACACGAAGGATGTGGGGAGGAAGAGATGGGATGTCAATTGTGTTAAGTGCATCGATAGGTACGTCGGGGTAATAATCGTTGGGAAGAAGTGTGTCAGCGCTGAGGCATGTTATGAAATCTCCAAGGAATTGATCAAGGATTATTGAATTGAGTGTAGACACCGTTTTATTTTTAGGTGCTAGAATAAGGCGTTCGGCAAGCCAGAGCGAATTGTTGGAGTTTGTTTGCAGATAGGGGAATGTTCAATCAATAAGTTGTTGTGTTCCTTCTTAAAGACAGAGATGGGGTGGGAGTTCGACAATCGCAGGTTCAGCATGGGGCGGGGGCGGAATGTCACCGTTTCTGAGCGCGAGGGGCCATTGAGCGTATTCACGGTCTGCAGGTGTGTTGATCTGGGCAAGTACACGCATGTTTTCTAAGAGGTGCATTGTTTCAAAATGTTGCCAAAGTGTCGATGACTTTATACATGCGTTAACAGTTTGGGCATGTGTGCCCTTTGCAATTACAGGCAGTATTTGTTGAAAATCTCCAGCAAGAATTACAATTTTACCGCCGAAAATTGAACTCGAGGAGCATATGTCACGGAGGGTTCGCTCGAGTGCGCCTCGATATATAATTTGTGTATTATTGGTGCCTCGTCCCGAACGATAAAAATTGTCATTCGTATGAGTTGGGCGAGTGCAGATTGTTTTGGAATATCGAGTGTAGAGGTTGCAGTTGGGGTAAGCGGTGCCTTGAATCGGGAGTGAAATGTTCGGCCGTTGTGCAAAAAGTGTTGTTGCGATGCCGCTTGATGCTACAGCGAGTGCGATGCGGTTTTGGTTTCGAATATATGCAAGAATGGTATTGAAACATAAAGTTTTTCCAGTTCCTGCGGGAGCGTCAATGAAGAGGCAAAGCGGTTCGTTATTGTCAGCGGCGGTTGCGACGTGGACGAAGACAACACATTGGGAGAGGTGGAGTAGTGGCAAGTTTGTATTTAATGTTGTTTGCAGCGTCACTTGATCATAAGAAGTTTCATCATTGATTATTTGCGGCACGTAATGTTGGCGGGGTCTCTCAGCCAAAGCATTGGCAGCGTGCTCATCATCGGGTGGTGGTCGAGGGATACCGACGTCTTCGAGTTGTTTCCCCTCTTTTTGTAGACGGTGATCGATATCAAGAAGGAGTATGGTTTTGATGAGGTGAAGAAGGACATCAGCGATTTGAAGATCTTTTTGGAAGCCGTTTATCATTTGTTGCCCAAACTGTCGAATTGAGTGTTGTCGTTGAGCAGGCCGAGCGCACGACACGTAGATTGATATGTGGGATGAATTTCACCATTAACAGTTCGAAGATGTTCAAATGATGTGGCTCCTCGGGAGCGGGGTGATAAAAGAAGCATGCGGAGATAAAAAGTGTCCCTTGCATTGGGGTGAATGGTGTGTATTCGTCCCATCGTGTTTGTCATTCGACGTCGCAATATCCATTGTTTTTTCGTTTTATCATATCGAAATCGTTGGATCATGTCTTTATATAAGATGCATGGTGTCCCATTTGAACCACACGGTCAGTTTAGTTTAAGGTGGCGGTTGATTCCTCAGATATCGAGTGTTTCCTGGCAGGAAGTAAGCGCGCTGTAACGACGCTGTTTATTTTCCGTGTGCACAGACAACGCGGAAACGGAAGGATATCGCTCAGAAAGAGGGAACTCAAAAGTTCTCCAACATGCTTCGGCTTCATCGATTGTGCGCATGTCCTAGAATGTTTGAATTTCGTCATTAGCATTTGTCATTTCGCCGACCATGGTTCGGCCCGGACCTTTCATAATGTATTCGAACATATAGCGGTAAGCGGCGGTCGAGGCACATATTTCGACATTCAGGTGACACCGGTAACGTAAGAGGAGAAAGGGATTGTAGGGGACAACTCAAGAGTTATCAATTTCATCGTTTTCACGTATAATAATTATTCCTCCATTCTCTCTTGCCCGTCGACGATATATGGGATAACCTGTTTCTTCACTCCACGTCGTGCGGTCGAAGAAATCTTTCGGGAAGTGATGTGAATAGCGATCATTGTGCATGCAAGGAGCTTGCATATTGAGCGGGCCACATCGGTTATATATCATGTGTGTTAGCACGAGTTCGCGAAGGACTGGGTTTGTGGGAATTTCAGCGTAAACTCTGAAATTTATTTGTTTAGGTGTGGTAATTTTATATTCATTATTAAATGTAATAACTAACTGTGCATGCGGGAGACCACGTTTTTGGAATTCTATAACATATATGTAGGCAGCAGTTGGACCGAATATGTGTGTGCCATGAATATCGCGAATGAGTTGTTGTAGGTAACCTTTGAAGACACGTTTGAGTAGGTTTGGTCTGTCGGATGGTTGTTGGTTAAGGAAGAAATGTTGTTCAATTTTTGGCCAGTGTGAGTTGCAAGTGATCGTGGTAAAAAGATCCAGGGGGCCATATTCCTAGACTGTTGCCAGAGAATCTTGATACCTCTGGTGCATATCTCGCGAGCCGCCGACGAAAGTGGATGCGTTGACCAATGTTTTCAGCACTATCATACTGCATGAGGTGGTCATGCAGATTTTGATAAAGTTCGGCGCAAATTTTAATATGGTGCAGCCTATCGTATAACAATCCACCGTTTTCTATCTTTGCGAACGCCATGTATACGTATTCTTGATATAAACACGAGACTTGAAATATTGTGGTTCGTTCATTGTCTCGAGTATTAAGATGAAAGGCATAAAACTCTCGTGCGGTGATTTGTTGTGTGGAAGGGTTTTCTTCATCGTCAGTCTCCAGCGTCCCTTCGCCTGACGGGAATAAGAGAACATAATGCAAAGGATCAAAAGCACGATTTGTCTCATGGATTTGGATAACACCTCCGCCGAGTCGGTGTACGATAATCTCACAGTTAGAAGGTTGATCGTGCATGAGCAAGCATAACTCTAAAAGACCTTCAGATCTATTGTACCGTCATTCATCTTCGTCGATCGGCCGTGTTGCAGGATTGATGACAATAAGTCGTTCATATATCATATGATCAGGGAGTTCACAAATAGTAATGAAATCTTGGAGCCAACGATTAGATTCAATCAAAAGATGGTGAAGTTTTCGTAGTAGTCGTTTAATTTGTTGGATCGTTGCGAGCGGGATCTCAGGCGCAAGATTAAATATAGTTAGTCATATGACAGTTGCATCATATTCATGTTGCGGATCATATATATATAGTTGTGCGAATGCACGCTCATGACCAACGTCATGTATAAGTGGTCCAAGGTTGTGGTCCAGTTGACCAACAATTTTGACCATTCCATGTCATCCACCTAGAGGAGGTTGTGGTTCTTGGACGATTTGCGGTGCAAACGCAAGTGCATTGTTGAATTGTCGCACACGGGAACGCAGCAGCATTGTTGAATTGTCGCACACGGGAACGCAGCAATCATCCTAGCGGTGTGTCAGCTTCCCACTGTTGCAGAATTTGCTGAGCTGGTGTATCGGTCGTCTCATACTGCCAAAGCGGTGGATGAATTTTGCCTCGCCGACAACAAAGAGTCGTCCACGTTTGCTCATGCGGTCATTTTTGTGCATGACAATGCGTGCAGAATGTTTTATTTCGGAGGGCGCATATATTAGTCGGTATATGTCGAAGAATCGGCGAGGCGGTGTGCTCTCATCCACTGTTGAATTGGGCCGGAAGGGATCTAAGAAAGTGTCTGATAACAAGGGTCTTTGTATCGTCGGCAGCGTTCTGCGGTTGTATTGCAAGGTCTTTGCGCACCATCCCGTAACGATTCGGCTGCGGATAACGGACACAAGAAGAACGAAGATAAGAAGCACACAGAAAGCAGACAGAAGACAGAAGCACAACAGAGACGAGTAAGAAGATGAAAATTTCAAACACAAAAAGATACACGCCCGGCGCACAGCAGCGCAAATTTCGAGGTTTGGGGGAAAGATTTAATCGATTTTGGTCATCCCATCGTCGGAAGTGGACGGAGAGAGAGAGAAAGCATATCAAAATTTGAATTTTGTAAACAGTTCGGCAGTAGTCGTTGACTGAAAGATTCAATCAACGACGATGCAAGATATAGATCCAAGTGCAACAAGAAGCCCTCCGTCTACCCTGCTGTAAAAAAATAATAATAATATTCTCGACTATTGTTTAAAAGAAAAAAAAATTGTTCACGCACACTTCTTAGCTGGCACATTTTGGGTTTTGCGTGTGGTGCAACATGATGGCACATTTTGGGTTTTGCGTGTGGTGCATCA